TTCCCACACAATATGAACAGTCAGCAACATAGACTGCTTTAGAGTTTAAAGCATAAATTGCAAGGACTACGGACCCAAGTGCACCGAAAAAGCTGGAAGGACAACCAACAAAAGATTTTAATAAGAACTGGGGTTTGAAGAATCACTTGGTGATATATTGTGATATGACCTTCCATTTTGAAGGAGAAGTTGGTTGGAAAAAATCGTGATGTAGTCTGACCGGAAAGTTTATGATTTTCAAAAGGCACTCCTAGTTCCAAAGTTATTAGTCCGTTATATAGACGATTACTTTGCTGTTTGGCAACACGACAAAAATAGTTGGTGGAATTCATTGGGCTAATGAATAGAATTGATGCAAATACCAGGTATAGCATGGAATTAGAAAAGGAAAATGAATTGTCATTTTTGGCTGTATTAGTGAACAAAGAAGGTAATAAGTTAGGTAGAGACGTATATAGAAACCCTCCCCCGTGGTCTCATTATTTTTTTCTTGAACCATACATATAAAGTAAAAATAGGAATTATGAAGTCTAGGATAATAAGGACTCTGCATCCAGCAGATGCAAACCACAGAGACCAGGAGATTGAAAAGCTGAGGCATATACTGTTTCAAAAAGATTATCCATTAGGATTAGTAGACAATTACATATCATTTGCCAATAACAAGATGAGGCGAGATATATTCACCCTATTTCGTTCAAGGTAATGAAGAACTGGTAGTAGAATTTTCCCACAATGATATATGAGCTGACATGCTGCAATGTCACGGTTCGGCTCTCGCTGGGGGCGTTGATAAGACCTAGGCGAAGTCGAAACTGCAGTCCACTTCAGCCTGGATGAGAATATCTTTTTGGAAAGCAAGGCCCTGTGAAATTCAATGGAAACGCCAGCTCTACTCATATCATTGTGGGGAAATTCAATTACCAGTTCTTCATTACCTCAAACGAAATAGGGTGAATACCTCTCATTTTACTGATTTACTTGTAGTCTCGAAACTCTACTCAAATACTCAAATACCTCATATAACTGATTTACTGGCAATCTTTAAATCCTACTTATGAAGGAAAACATGTAGGGTAAGTTTGAGGTAGCCAACCAAATCATGGAATGCCCCATTAAGATCGCTAAGTTAGAACCTTCCTGTTTTGGAATGTACCAAGTCAATGATTTTATGCTGGAAATCACTAATACTCGAGGGCATATTGCACAGGACTAGGTACGTTCCATAAGGTCGCTCTGACTCTGACCAAATTGAGAAAATGATTTCAAACCAACACCATTAGAACCTTCCTTTTATACGAAAGTTTTACCATGACAAACGTCGTTAGAATGAGGAATGATTATTTAAAATATATCAACACAACTCCAAAAGGAAGTCTTGGTTACTCGTTCTGATGACGCCTGTTTCGGTAGAACGAACGAAAGCTCATTCCAAATGCCTCAGAATTGAAGATTAGTATGGGCAAACCTAATACGCCAAATTGGATCATCAAAACGATAAATCTAAGGAAAGTTCCATCGGATTTTGTTCAGACATCCTGGCAGTTTTTCATACCTAATAAATAGCCAAATATCACTTGCATTGGTCACAAAGTTTGGCTGTGAGGAGGTTTGATGCCGAATCACATTTAACTAAACTAAGCTCTTGTTCAGCAAAGCCCTAAAACTCAGAGCTATAACCATTTGTTTATTCACACAATTTCGCTTATGGTGTGATAAGAAGATGGGTAGTTAACTTTTTCTACTATCAGATGAGTAGACCTTACACTTCCATTGCATTTTACATGGTCTTCCTATCCAAAAAAGTATTTTAATTCCGGTTGAAGTCGATCGCAATTTCGGTCTTACCTGAACTTGTCTCATTAGCAACCACAGCGAGACTCAAACAATGACGGTGCAGCGTGACAGGGCAGGTGTGAATTTCAAAGAAGGTCAGGTATTTTCTGCGGTTGGATTGTCGATGAAGCAAAGGTGTATGTTATATATGAAATAAAACAGTGTTTCGAAGAAGTCCCTATTGAGTTGGTGTGATAATAATTTCCATTGCGAAGGTCAATTCGATTGAAAGGAAGTGTTGAAATGGTCTCACCGGAAACCAAAGAGGATTTCCGCGGAGTGAAAACTGTTGCATTGTGTGAAGAAGTCGTCGGCTCACCGTCCTGCGACCCAGATCAACCTGTGCTAAGCGTTCGTCTGTACCGCCCTGACAGACATCGCCACAGCATGCAGTCATACTTTACGAAATAGAGGAAGGAATATAGCAAAACGAAGAGGACAAATTGCCGGCTGCAACCCAATCAACTTTTTATACGCTATCCTTACGAACTTTATGCAGTATCCCATTATTTTGTTGGCTGCCCCAAGCTTACTCCACACGCTTGCCGATGAGTGAAGTAACTTCATGAACAGAAAGTGGATTCGGTAGCAACCCTTCCCTTACATAAGTAAAAGATTGATCTTAATGAGCCATTCCATGATTTGGTTGGCTACCTCAAACCTACTCTACATAATTTTGTTCATAAGCAGGGTTTAGAGACTGTCAGTAAATAAGTTATATGAGAGGTATTCATCCTATTTCGCTTAAGCTGATGAAGGACATGTATTAGAATTTTGCCACAATGATATGAGTAGAGCTGACGTTTCCATTAAATTTCACATAGTCCTGCTTTCCTAAAAGATGTTCTCATCCAGGATGAAGTGGATTACAGTTTCGACCTCGCTTAGGTCTTATCAACATCCCCAGCGGGAGTCGAACCGTGAAAGCGTAGCATGTGAGCTTGACACGTTAACCACTCGGATACATTGCTACGAGTGCCCTTGCGTCACGAGACAGATGTGAATTTCAAGGAAGGCCAGGCCTTTTCCAATATCACATTCTTTGGTGAAATTGTCAATGAAGCAAACGTATTTTTGCTATAAAAATAGACAACATTACTTAATTTTAGTATATAAGTAGAGTTTCAAAATACCAGTAAATCAGTTACATGAGATACATTCATCCTATTTCGCTCAAGATGAGGAAGGACTGATAGTAGAATTTTCCCACAATGATATGAGTAGAGCTGATGTTTCCATTGGATTTCATACATCTCACATAACTGATTCACTGGTAGTCTCGAGACTCTATTTCTATTTCTATTTCGTAAAGTATGGATAATTGCTCTGATGATGTCTGTCACGGTAGTACAGACTAACGCTTAGCACAGTTTCATCGGGGTTACAGGACGCTGAGCCGAGGACTTATTCGCACAATTCGTCAGTTTTCCTTACGCGACAATCCTCCTTCGGTTTCCGGTGAGACTACATCACGAATTCCTTCCAACCAGCTCTTAATTTATATTTTCTATATCAATCGACTACATTACTTATTTTTCATTTTATAAATAGGTTTTATAGACAACCAGTATATAACATATATTCGATTGCTAAAACAAGTAAAACTTTGCTTCATCGATAATCCCATCAGAGAATGTGATATGTGAAAATGCCTGGCTTTCCTAGAGACGCACATCTGCGCTGTCATCCAAGAGCTCTCGTGAAATTTTGTTTTGGAGGGGTTAATTTGTCGAAATTATATGTTGCGCTTTCACGACTAGGGTTTAAGTCCGTCTGAGGATGCTAATGAGGCTCAGACGAGGCGAGGTAGAAACTGCAGTCCCTTTCTGCCTGGATAAGAACGCCATTCGGGGAGAAAGGCGTCATATCTAATCATATGAATATGGGAAAATTCAACTACCCGTCATTTATCATCTTAACTGAAATAGGGTGAATACATCTCATGTATGTAATCTGCTGGAATTATTGAAAACCTATTTGTAACGCTCTTAAGTAATTCTTTCATTTTCATTCCATTGACTGTTTTGGATGGTGGTAAAGGGATTTGAAGTGTCCATTCATTGCTCAACCAGCCAATACGTCCTCGAATTGAGCTGTGTTTGTATGGTCCTATGTGACTTTCCCCCCC